CCCAATCACCATGATCATTCAAAGATTACTGAGAGTGACTTTGTGATGTCATCAGCCAACTCCCTCAGTACTTGGGGGGTGCATCCCATCAGGTCCCGTGGACCTATGTGTGTCTGCTTTGCTTAAGTATTCTCTAATCTGATCCTTTTCCACCAAGGGTAGATCTTCCTTTCTCCAGACTTTCCCTCTGCTTCTGGGACCTGGGATTCCTGAAGGCCAGTCTTGCTAGTGAAGACCAAAGCAAAGAAGGCATTCAGCACTTCAGCCTTTTCCATGTTCTGTGTCACCAGGGCCCCTGCCTCATTCAGCAGTGGGTGTGTATTTTCTCTAATCTTCCTTTCGTTCTTTATGTAAATAAAGAAGCACTTCTTGTTACCCGTGACATCTCTCATGAGATTCAATTCCAGTTGGGCTTTGGCTTTCCTAACTGTGTCTCTGCATGTTTGAACTTGCTCTATATACCTTCCAGGTTACAACTTGTTCATCCATGCAGACCTCCTGGCATTTTTGCCCAACTTCCTGCTTGTTGAGATGGACTGTTCTGTAGCTTATTTAACTATGTTAATCAGCTTTCTTGGGACCCTTTTCCTTCCAGGGCCTTATCCAATGAGACTTTTCCAAGCAGGTCCCTGAAGAGTCCAAAGTCTGCTCTCCTGAAGTCCTGGATTGTGATCTTGCTTTTCGCCCTGCTCCATCCTTTCACAATCCTGAACTCCACTATCTCATGGTCACTGCAGCCAAGGCTGCCTTCAGCCTTCACATCCCCAATGAGCCCTTCATTTTTTGTGAGTGTGAGCAGAGCATCTCCCCTTACTGGTTTCTCTGTCATTTGGATCAGGAAGTCGTCACTGATGCTCTTCCAGGATCTTCCTGGTCTGTTTATGGCTTGCCATCTTTTTCCTCAGGATGGATGAAGTGCCCCCCAAGTGGACCAGGACTGTGAGTGCGAGGCTACTTCTAGCTTTGAGCACAAAATTGGACTAGAGATCTCCTCATGTCCAACCTGGATTATCCTATGATCCTGTGATAATTATTCATTTCTCAAATTATAATTTGAACATACAATCATAGAATCATAGAATGATAGAAACATTCAGGTTGGAAAAGACCTTTAAAATCATCAAGTCCAACCGTTAACCTAACACTGCCATTCCTCCACTAAACCTTGTCCCTTAGCACCTCGTCTACCTGTCTTTTAGATACCTCTGGGGATGGGGACTCAACCACTTCCCTGGGCAGCACCTTCCAATGCTTAACAACCCTTTCTGTGAAGAAATTTTTCCTAATGTCCAACCTAAACCTGCCCTGGCGCAACTTGAGGCCATTTCCTCTCATCCTATTGCTTGTCACTTGGAGAAGAGACCAACACACACCTCACTATAGCCCCCTTTCAGGCAGTTGTGGAGGGCGATAAGGTCTCCCCTCAGCCTCCTCTTCTCCAGACTAAACAACCCCAAGTTCCCTCAGCTGCTCTTCATCAGACTTGTGCTCCAGACACCTCACCAGCTTTGTTGCCCTTCTCTGGACATGCTCCAGCACCTCAATGTCCTTCTTGTAGTGAGGGGCCCAAAACTGAACACAGTATTCGAGGTGTGGCCTCACCGGGGGACGATCACTTCCCTGGTCCTGCTGGCCACACTATTTCTGATACAAGCCACGATGCCATTGGCCTTCTTGGCCACCTGGACACACTGCTGGCTCATATTCAGCTGGCTGTTGACCAGTCCCCCCAGATCCCTCTCTGCCGGGCAGCTTTCCAGCCCCTCTTCCTCAAGTCTGTAGCGTTGCATGGGGTTGTTGTGACCCAAGTGTTGAATTCATACCATTGGCCTTGGCCCATTGATCCAGCCTGTCCAGGTCCCTCTCTAGAGACTTCCTACCCTCAAGCAGATCAACACTCCCACCCAGCTTAGTGTCATCTGCACACTTACTGAGGGTGCACTTGATCCTCTCGTCCAGGTCGTTGATAAAGATGTTAAACAGAAGTGGTCCCAACACTGAGCCCTGGGGAACACCACTTGTGACCATCCTCCATTCACCACCACCCTTTGGGCCCAGCCATCCAGACAGTTTTTTACATTGAAAAGAGTATGCCTGTCCAGGTTAGTACAGGGGTACTCAAACAACAGGTCATGGTCTATATGTAGTCCATCAGGACAATTTGCAGACCACTCCTAACATCACCCTTTCTAAGGAGACTGTCCATAGTGAGGGGTGGTCAAATGCCCTGATGGGTGCAGCCCACTGCCAGCCTCCCTCTTTCCCAGGAATGGTAGTACCCCTCCGTAGCATGTGAGCAGGAGCACTTCTTCCTGGCAGAGAAGGAAGATGGTGACAAGATGCAGTTCACTTTTGCAGTTAAGGTCATCTGCACCTTCCTTGCCCATGTAAGACAAACCCCAGATGAAGAAGAATAACCTTTTAATAATTATTTTCTGAACATGATGGGTGAAAATGATATAAGGACAATCTTGAGTATTGCCCAAGACAGCATTTTATCAGAAGGGTAGAAAGATATTCCAGATGTTCATTTAGTTGCCTCTTCTTTCCTTCCGTGCCACTTTCTGCCTGGTCCTTTCTAATACTATGAGGGGAAATAGACACTCAAATGCAAAATTGTATCTCTAACCTCATTCTAACTCTGGGTGCTTATAAGGTATTCAGAGAACTTGAATAAGTATTAATACTTGTAATAAGATGAGAGTTAAGGTTTAGTGCGTAGCATGAATGGCAAGAGAGGGATGCAGATAATTGTTTTATTTATGCGCTGGAAACAAAGGAAAGCTTTCTACACGGTAAGGTATATTACAGAAAGTAGAATCATAGAATTATAGAATCATAGAATGTTTTGGATTGGAAGGGACCCCTAGAGGTCATCTAGTCCAACCCCCTGCAGTGAGCAGGGCCACCGCTAACTAGATCAGGTTGCTCAGAGCCCCGTCCAACCTGGCCTTGAATGTTTCCAGGGATGGGGCCTCCACTACCTCTCTGGGCAAACTGGTTCAGTGGTTCGTTATAAAACCATTACCCCTTGTCCTCTTTATATCCAGTCTAAAGCTACCCTGGTTTAGTTTAAAACCATTACCCCTTGTCCTGTCACAGCTGGCCCTACTAAAAAGATTTTCCCCATCTTTCCTAAGTAGCTGGCTCTGAGTAGCTTTTTTTTCTGCTAAGCAAATTACTGTAGTCTAATAATTTTAGCTTGACTGGGTCATTCTACTTCAGTCTTTTTGTTTAATGGCCATTAGAATATTCAGTTCCCTTCCTGACTGATTCCTGTGAATGGGGCCCATGCTAGGATTACATCTTCGTTTTACATTATAAAACAAATTGGCTGTTAGGTGTTTGGACATTTAAAATCTTTGTTTATAAGAAAGGTAAAGGACCTGTTTCCATTTGACATGTATAGATGGGGTTTGGAGCAGCAGTTTATGCCAATACATCAATGTAAGGTTCCTGCTGTAGTTACCTAGCGGAATCTAATTGAAAGCTTTCATCCGATTCCTCCTGTTTTCAGCTGATAATTTCCTCATACAACAGAGTAAATGTTTTTCTCCGTTTCCACTCATCGTTCGGTATACAATGAGAATAGTCATCAATGAATCACATAAAATGTCAACAGAAAGAAATTAGCTGCTATTGGGCATTAGGAAGGTGGGAGAGTTTGGGAAGAAAAGCTTCTTTGGGAAAACCGGGGTGTTTCTCTGGTCCCCTCTGCTCTCAGCTGTGCTGGGTGTTCCCTCAGTAACGCATCAGTTCTTGCTTTTTTCAACAGCTTGACGAAAGACAAACAGTTAGGGCAGCCAAGAGCAATACACTTCATGACATCATTCTCTGGTGGATATGTTTAAGTTAATTAGTTATGCTCGGTTTTATTTCTTTGTTCTCTAATCTGTCTAAACTATGTTCCAGGCTCCACTGATCATCTGTGAAGACTAAATAATGTGTGAGCTTGTACATGGTGTTTTCTGACTAGGGAGAAAAAATCCTTGTTTATTTCTCTTACCCTGTGTTGAGGAACCTTAATCGTGGGAAGCAAATGGGGAACAGGTCTGATACAGAACTAAATGTTTATTGATGTATTTTTAAACAAGTGAAGTATACTGACATCGTCAGGTGAAGACAGTATAAACATTGCTGCAGACCTCTAATTGTATATTGGCTAAGAAGCGGAAATCCCTTTTTTTCCCCCGACTGTAGAATAAGTCTGGTGATTAATTTAGTATCCATTATGAGTGCAAGACATCAGCGTTATGCTCACTAAGTTCTTTCATCCTCAGGCCAAGAACCATTTTGCAGGCGTAATGCAAGAATGCCTACAGAGCTGTGTGGGTGTATATAAACTCTAACCTGAACATCTTGCAGTGTTCTCAAGTGGGAGGGTAATTTCGCCTCTTCATTGATTTTACTGATGTCTCTTATGAGCAAGTAGTGCCATTTCCCTCAACCTGTGATGAATTGCGTGTGCTATACAATGTGGGCTGTTGCTCACCAGAGGATTAAGCAGGAGCAACAAACCTGCTTCAAACCTTTCATGAGTGACAGACACCTGCGTCATCTTGCACAGTCTTAACATTTTGATAGATAAAAGCAGCCTACCGGTTCTTCTAGGGGAGACTGCCTAGGTTGACAAAAATGCTTACATTGCATTTGGATCGTTTACAAAAAAGCCACTGCATTACTTGTGATGGAATCTTCAAAAGCAAATGATTTTTATGTGTAGTCTCAGCACTGTTAAATTAAGCTGTCCTAAGTACCTGCAGTAACCATGGTATCTGCAAGTCTGGATTACTGCAGCAGTTCTTTGTCTGGGATGTGGTACATACTGTACTTGGATTTTAATGGAGCCATTTATACACATTTTATATTTTCCCATAAAACTCCTCAAGATGAATGAAAACAAGCGTGGGCTAAATGTTTGTGCTTTTCAGTGCTCGTTCTGTTACAGAATCTTGCTGACTTTCTTAATTGCTAACTTAGGCAGTTTCTTTGTCTTTTAGAATGTCGGGTGGTGAAATCCACTTCCTATACCAAAATAGCTTCGACTTCACGTAGGAGCACCACCAAGAGCCCGGGCCCATCCCGACGCAGCAAGTCTCCTGCTTCTACCAGCTCAGGTAAAGCAAGCAAGAAATCTTTCTTAACAACAGCAACAAATCTGTTTGAATACAGTTGGCAACATGCTTCAAATTCCATGTTTCTCTGGAAAAACGTTGTATGTATGAGAGTTGATAGTAAAAATTCACTTGTTTTCTCAGTTGCATTTGCGATGAAGTATCTTCCTAATACAAAATACTTCTTCAGTGTTTTATAAATCATACTCTGGCATTACCACAGTTCATTTCACTTCATTTTCTGTGCATGATTTTGCTGCTGATACCTAAAGACTGACAAAAAGAGGTATCCCTTGTTTGAATAAGCATGATGCAGAAAGTAGTCCAGGTTACATAGCGCAGGGTCTGAGTCTGTGAAAGGTTGATTTCACAGCCTTTTTTTGTATTTTGTTTCTGAGGGAGTTAAGAGGCAGCAATGAGGAAAGGTTAAAGACAATGAGGATATTGGGGAAGGGGGGGCAGGGCAGGGAAGGAATGCAATTACAGATGTGAATGTGAGGTGCAAAGATAGCTGAGGAAGAAAGAAGTCAGGGTTGACCTAACAAGCCCAGTGGTACAGGCTGGAGAAGACACAGCAAAAAGCCTTAAAAAGTTCTGTCTAAAGGCCTTGCTTTGGCTGCCTTTGCAGCTGCTCCCGCTAAGTAGTCCATGACTAGTTCCCCCCTGCAGCTTTTTCCCAAGCAACACAAATAAATAAACAAAAAAAAGTGCATTAGATAATTTGCTGGTATTGGTGCCTGAAAGTACAAATAGTACTTGATGTGGGCCAGTTGAGTGGACCCAGTCCAGCATTTGCAGCATTGCTTGTGAATATGGATTTTGCAAGAGGCAAACGTTAGAGCTTGTCTGAAAGCCTCCTCACTCTGCCATAAGTCTTCTGCCACCAGGGAGGTGAACATCATACTAGGACCTGCATCCAGCACCGTAAGGTCTTTATGGGGTGATCAGAATGACCCAGGTGCTCCTAGCTGGTTTCAAAGAGGGGAGTCATGAACCAGCTGGAACCATATTTTTACAAGAAGATTAAGCTGGGAAAAAAAGCATCCTTGCTCAAGGAAAGTGGGAAAGACACAATGAGAGACAGGCGTAGACGTGGGTAGCAGGGCTGGGAGGCAGCGTGCTTCCTACGCATCCTAAAAACAGCTGAAATAGAGAAACCTGAAAAGAGGTAATGGGAGGAAGTATCAGCTGTGAGGAACAAGGCCAGAGTATCTCTTTCTTAAACATATATTAAGTAGCTTTCTTTGTAGCTAGGTGGAACAGAGTTAAATTAAGCCTTAGCAAGGGAGAGCCTGGGTGGTGTGTGAATGTTATGGATTCTTTCTGGTTTTTTCTAATGAATATTCATTTGGGAGTACAGGTAATGGACACTGAATTGTATATGTTAATTTCTGTGTGGAATAGCTGTTCTGCTGCACGTAACAAAAGTTTCTGCCACAGAACTAGCAACATTTTTGCCATGTTGATTATGTGATACCTTGTTGGTTTTGGTCCTCAGAGAAATAGTACTGTTTTTACTTAAACATGCAGGAGAATTGTAGGTGAGTAAATCTTAATTTCCTGCAGCTCAGTTTTACAGGGTCTGAGCAGAATACCATTACATGTTCAATCACTGCAAAAGATCAGGAGATTATTTTACAGCTGGTGAAAAAAAGGAATGTTTTCATTATGCCACAATAGTAATTAATATATCATTATGTTTATAACAGGAAAAGAAACTGTAGTGGAAATATTAAAAATGCAAACCATTTTGGATGGTTCTGTGCTAATGACAGATTTACCCATCGTAAAAATATCTTGTGTAAAACCAATAAATTTACAGGAAATAGGCACATACTAGTTTGTCAAAAAGGTCCGTGTCCTTGCCTATTTGATGTAATTATTTGGACACTGTAATTAAGATTTTCTTAGAGAAAGACATCAGACAAAACCCTACAGGAATACATAGGATGCTGACAGAGCAGTCTGTCAACCGGTAGGAGCCTGGGTGAAGAACTGGCTGAAGGGCAGGGCTCAAAGTGTAGTGGTGAATGAGGCTACATCTGGCTGGCAACTGGTCACTGATGGTGTTCCTCAGGGCTTAATTCTAGGGCGAGTTCTGTTCAATATTTTTATCAGTGATCTGGATGCAGGAGTTGAATGAATCATTAACAAATTTGCTGATGATACTAAACTGGGAGGTGCTGTTGACTCTCTTGAGGGACAAGAGGCCTTGTGGAATAATCTAGATAGATTGGAGCATGAAATTTAATGAGAACAAATACCAGATTCTACACCTGGAATGGAGTCATGCTGGACATGAGTGTAAACCGGGAGAGGAGTGGCTGGAGAGCAGCCCTGCAGAAAGGGTTCTGGGGGTGCTGGTTGGCAACAGGTTCAATAGGAGTCAGCAGGGTGCCCTGGCAGCCAAGAGGGCAAACCACATCCTGGGGTGCCTCAAACACAGCATAGCCAGCCGGTCAAAAGGGGTGATTATCCCAATGTATTTAGCATTGGTGTGGCCTCTTGTTGAGTATTGTGTGCAGTTCTGGGCCCCACAATTTAAGAAGGATGTTAAGGTACTTGAACGTGTCCAGATGAGGGCAACAAAGCTTGTGGAAGGGCTGGAAGGCATGTCCTATGAGGAGCTGCTAAGGACTCTGGGTTTGTCTAGTTTGGAGCAAAGGAGGCTGAGAGGCAACCACATTGCTCTCTACAGCTTCCTGAGGAGGGGAGGTGGAGAGGGAGGTGCTGAGCTCTTCCGCTGATATCCAGTGGCAGGATGCATGAGAGTGGTTCAAAGCTGCACCAGAGGAGGTTTAGACTGGACATCAGGAAGCCTTTCTTTACTGAGAGGGTGGTCAAACCCTGAAACAGCCTTCCTAGAGAGGTGGTCGATGCCCAAAGCCTGTCAGTGTTTAAGAGGCATTTGGACAATACCTTTAATAACATGCTTTCATTTTTGGTCAGCCCTGAAGTGGTCAGGCAATTGGACTAGATGACTGTTGCAGGTCCCTTCCAACTGAACTGTTCCATTCCATTCTGTTCTGTCCTGTTCTATTCTATTCTATAACTTGTCACAGTTTAAAAAGGGTAAACAATTGAAAATATTTCTATAGAAGTTAATTTTAGTGGGGACAATGGGTCTGATTTGGCTGTCAGTGCCTCTTGTGTTTGCTTTCTGCAAATAGTAAAGTCAAATTGTATGAATGTTACAGGGAGCCTATTTCTAACCTTACATACATGAGTATTTACATCAATATTACTGTCATAAAAGGAAGCAATATTGTACTAAGTGGGCACTTGTCCTCAAGAATTGTTTTTAGATCACATAAAACTAAAAACAATCGATGAATAGATTTTAAAAATATGCAATTTGATATTAGACACTGCATTAAAAAAGCAATAGTGGAAAGGAAAAGAAGCACTAACTCTTGGATACTGTTAGACAAAACCCAAAGTTCTCCCATGAAATGCAGACAATATGTACACTATTCTGCCATCCAGTAGGCCTAAAAATACCGCCTGTTTATTGGAATTATGTACCCATGACAGTAGAAGAATAGAGAAATTACCATCTACTGCACATATGAACAGATAATTTTTTCCATGTTGTTTACATTAAACATCTCAGTATTAGAGTCTCCTAAATCACTAGTACATAAGTAGAAGTTATGGTTTTGTTATCATGTTGTTACAGCTAAGTGTATATATATATATATGTATTTTTTATGCTTTTAAACTGCTTTCAGTTCATCTTTAAACTATTGTTAAGGATTTTCCTTTCATTAGGGATAAACATAAAAAATAGTCAAGAAAAACAGTAGATTCTTTGCTCAGAACAAAGGCAATACATGCACATTCCAAAAAGAAAGGTGTGTCATTTTGTGAACAGTTGAGAAAAGTTGGGATAAAGGGCAGGCACAAAGCATTACTGATGGTGTACCCTTGAGAAAAAGCTGAGCGAGCTGTATGGAGAGGAGCGTGTTGCTAATTAGAAAGAATCTGATTCCTCTTGTTTAATTCTTGCTGCGTTTTGAAAAGTCTGTGCATTCTTGCTACGCCAAAGGATCAGATGCCTGCCTCAGTCATCAATTCATGCCCATATCAAGATAATACATAGTGATAATGACATTGGCCTAAAAATGAAAGTTGCATAGACAAAGACCACGTTAGAAAAATTGAAACATCTCAAAGTTGCATATTAAAACTGATAAAATCCTAAAATGAAGGGATATCCTTGAGTTACCCTTAATCCTTACCTGTGTGCATCTATAGTATGGTATAGTCTTTAATGTAGGTATTCAACATCATTTTTCTTCTCACCCAGCACAGGATAGCTGATCAGGTTTCACCATTTTCAGAGTTAATAAAGGTACAGCCTTTGGGTCATTTCCCCATTGTTAGAGAAGTGGATGTGTAGATGAGGCTAGGACGTGTAGACAGTCTGCTTTGGTTTAAGCACATCCTCAAGAATTCTTTCCCTTCTTTGATACAGAATTTCAAATGGTAAGTGAATTAAGCCAAACTTTGGATTGAACTAAACGTTTATAAATGCGATGAAGTCCATGAGACCCTCGTTCTGAGCAAATAGTGCTGTGTGGTGATGAACTTTCCCAGATTCATCCCAACAGCTTCTGAAGTTGCTTACAGAAATCAAAGGAGCTATTTGGGGGGGAAGAGGGGGCAGGGGGGAGGGGTTGTCAGTTTGTTGGTTTTCTTTAATGTCTGTGTCTCATTTTGGCTTCTCTTAAGTTTGGAGCAATACCATTTTACCAAAACTGGCGCTTTGAAGATAAATTCAGTAATGTTAACAAATGATTTTTAGAGAAAATCCTGCTTGAAGGCCCTCACCCCTAATGTGCAGAGCTTTCTGCTCCGGTCTCACCTTGTCGTGGTGGCCCCTGCCTGTGTGGGGGAGCAGGCAAAGGACCCTGAATGTTCTGTCTCCTTGGCGAGCCCCAGCCACTGCTCCAGAGACCCATTTCCCTCATCGTCTCATCTGGTACTTGCAAAGGGCTCTT